CACAGTGAGAGGCCCAGGTACCACAGAAAAAAAAAAAAAAAAAAAAAAGAATTTAGAAAATCTCCAAAGATAAAAAAGAAAGAAATGAAAAATTTTATCTGAGCCAAATTGAAAATTATAACCCAGGAACAGCCTTTCGGAAAGCTTCGAGGTCTCTTCTGCCTATGAGGTCAAAGCATAGCTATACAAGTTTTTGAGACAGAGGGTTGTACATTAAATGATGTATTACTGACAGTTACACAATCCAGATCTACGAGTACAAAGTGAGCGGCCCCAAGATTAAGAAGGAAGATTATTTCCTAAAGAATTGTGACCCTTGATGAGATTAAGAAGGAACGTTACATCCTAAGGAGGTCCGGGGAATGCAGATGCTCATTCCGCCCCAAAGGGACGAAGGAAGCCAAGAAAAATTTTATGTTTAAATATTTCCCCTCTTGCCATAAAATATGAATTTTACTTCACCAGGTATTATAGTATTACCATTTAAAATATATATTTTAGTAGCCATTAAGGTTTCCAGTTCCAATATATACTGTTTAAAGCAAAAATAAATAAACTTTAAAAAATTGTATTTGTGTGTGTGTAACATTAGCTGAGTACTTACTACAGTCCGGAAACGTGTGGCCCTACACTGCCTAGGAGTATTTTTTTTTTCCTTGTTTTTGTCTTTTGTTTTCTCCCCTTCTTAACAAAATCAAACTGCTTGGGAGAGTACGGATGAGATGGAAGAGGGTAAGGTAACGAGTTTGCTGAGATAAGCGCTATAAAGTTTTAAAATCCCCCAATTTTCACCGCATTTCCACCATAAATAGCAACGTAAACATTTAAGCATAACTTCCTCTAAGAAATTTTCCTTTCATCTCCCAAATCCACGTGGAGAAGGGAGACAATAAGGATGCTTAGGACAACTTGCCCAGACTTGCCCTCAACCTGGGAAATCTGAGTCCCGGGGCTGGAAAATCTGAAATGTAAAAGAGAATCGTGCTGGGATTGCGTGGGTAGGAGGGAAGAAACAGGATCTCACGGGACCCGGCTTGGGTCCAGGAAAGCATTCCCCCACCGCCCCCTCCGCGCCGGCCGCTGGGCTGGGAAGCTCCTCCTCCCCGTTTCCTTCCTCCGCTTCAAGCTCGGTGGCCGTGGCGGGCGAAGGGCAGAACGCTGCGGTATTTTGTCCCACGCGGCGACCCCTCCTCCCGCCGGCGCTGCGGCCGCAGCGGCTGCGAGGGAGGCAGCGGAGAGCTGACGGCAGGCCACGGCTGGGCGGCCTGGAGGCCACGGGAGGTGGAGGCCCGGCCGCCATCCCGCGGCACGGGAGCGGAGGGGAAGAGGCGGACGCCCGCCAGCCCCGCCCGGTCGCCGAGAACGTGGGGGAGGCTCCGCGCGCCGCCCGCCCCCCGGCGCCCGCAGCCCTGCTGGCCCTGCAGCCGCCGCAGCCGCAGCCGCCGCCGCCGCCGCCGCCGCCGCTGCCTCCGCCTCAGGCTCCCGCCGCGGGCTCGACGGCCCCGGCCGGGGAGGGAGGGCGGCGGGTGCCGCCGGAGCCGCCAGACATGTCGGGAGGGCACTGCGGCAGCTTCGCCGCGGCGGCGGCCGGCAGCGGCGAGATCGTGCAGCTGAACGTGGGGGGAACCAGGTGAGTCGGGGAGAGGGGGCGCGGGGTGGGGGGATAGCGGGCGGGCGACCTCCGGGGGAGACCGGGCCCCGGGGGGGGCGGGATAGCGGGCGAGCATGGGCGCCGAGTCGGCGGGGAGCGCAGGGCCCTCCGGGCGGGTGCAGGTCCGCGGATCTCGAGGGGCAGGCGGCCTTGGGAATCACCGAGACCAGGGTTCATCTGGCCGCGCTGCCGCCTTCCTAGAATATCAGCTACGTCCCTCCCCCTTTCTAGGGGATCAGGCCGAGAGCAACATTCTATAGCCTTCCTTACCTAACCCTGGCGCGTACTTGAGGAATTTATTTTGTAGAAGCCGGGTCTTGTGGTTTGACTGTTGCAGGTGCACCTGCCTCCCTTTCTCATTGGTCAACAAGGTAAATCGATTTGCTCGGGCGATAATGCCTCAGTAAAGGCAATGAGTTTGAAATCTCCAAGAATTTCGGTGGAGGGAGTGCCGTAGATGCGCGGTACGTTGTTATTTATTTTCAGAGTTTCTTGGTGCGTGGCTCTGAAGGATCTGTTCAACTTGTAGGGCAGCGAGTCCAGAAACTGCAGTTTGAAGAGTTGGTTCTGGGAAGCTTTGGGTAGTGGCACCCTGTTGCGCTCTCCTAGTAAACAGACCGAAAGCTCTTCTCTGATCTCTCTCAGGCCTTCCACTCCCTTACTATGTCTTTCAATAAGCTTGTTGGGGGGAAAAAAATCATACTTCTGTGGATTTGCTATGGTTTATGAGTCACTCCTCTCGGAAATGGGAATTTGCCAGCTGTTTCAAGGAAGGGGTAGTTGAGTTTTAGGCTAGGTGGGAGATTAACGATGAAGCGCCCTGGGAGGTAGTGTATTTTACTCTGCTCAACACCTAGGACTTTTTAACTAGTATTTTTAAAAATGCAAAACGGCAGCACTGTGAACCGTAGTGGTAAAAACGTATAGTGTTTGAATAGTTTTCTAAGTGTGCTGGAGAATTCAACACAGGAAACAGTAATGCTTTCTCCGCTCTTTTTTTCCCTCTCATCCCTCAAGCAGAACTGTTCATTAGTTTACAACGTTATTGCTGCTATATAGATTACGGTTTTATGGAGGGGAAGATTGGTGTCTCCTAATGCAAGACATGGATATTTTCCTAAAATCACGTGAAAATTTTGCCGCTTTGGTAACTTATGAATGCAAAACTGGAATACCCTGCAAGAGCTGGCCTTCAGAAGAGTAGCACTATAGTCATTTAAAATCCCTGCCCTAGTTTCTAATTTCCTTGAAGTTGAGTAATTGCCACTGGGAGAACCACCTGTGGCATAGAATTGAACTCAGCTGTGAAGTGATAGAGTGACACTCAAAGGAGAGTTTCTTATGAGCAGAGAAGCACATGGTATAGGTAGGGTCTAATCAAAAAAATGACCAATTTTTATCATTTATTTAACACTTAATGGATGACTCAGAAAGTAGAGAAGATGAGGTTTCATTTAGAATTGTTAATGTTATTATTATTTACCAGAAAAACCCTAATGAAGTGAAAGAAAACCAATGTGGCTCCATTTGTGATTAATTCTGTTATGAATGAGAATGATTTGAGGCCTCAGGAGAGAAGTCTGGGACTAGCCAGTGGGAGACAAGCTCAGCAACCTTAGGCAAATTAATGTTTAGTGCTTAGTTTCCCAAAATGTGTAATGACAATAATAGTACAACTTTCCAGGATTGATAAAAAAATTTGAAGCAATAAATGGGAAATACAAGGGTTAGTGGCATTATCTATCAACAGTAACTGCAGAATAAATAATTTTAACTAGATTGTTTCCAAGTAAATTTAGGAGGCAAGTAGCATGGAGTATAAATGTGGATATGTTTTGCCGAGGCCAGATTGCACGTGATCTTTTTCTTGGCATACTGTAGATATGAGATAAAAACATAGAAAAGGCTTTTCATATATTATGCTTGTCATATGTAATTTTAAATGTTGTAGTTTTCATGAAGTCATATTTGGAACCAGTTTTAGAGCTCTGGGATTTTCTCCCCCATCTTCCACTTGTTTGGAGAAAAAAAAAATTGGTGGGGATGAGAGTCTAATCCCTTTGCCCAGAAATTCCAGATTACTAAACCCACCCCAAACTGCTGATTTTAATTGAAATTGCTAATATGACTTTAAGCAGACCTGGGTAATTTTCTAAGTAACACAAAATTTGAGTTATTTGGCAAACAATTTGCTGAATAAGCAGTGAACGTGAAAGGTCACAAGTTAGAAGTGATCCTTATTTGGAATTAATTTGGTTGCCTCCAAAACACAGTGACTCATTTTTGCAGTGGATCCTTAGATATTTCAGTTTACCATATTTACTGGGTTTGCTTCTATTGATTTGACCAAGTCAGTTTCCTCTAACTAGTTGTAATCTACTTCTCATTTTTTTCTTAAGATTCTGGTAAGAAATATGCTTGGGAAAATTTGCCATATTTTCTTGAGTAAACTGGCTCCTTTCTTAGCCTGATTAATGGGCACAGGAGCTACTTTAAAACAGTCACGTAATGCTAGAAAATGAATGTGGAGGGAAAGTAAAGGTCTGTTGGGCTCTCTTCTGTGTGAGGACACGTGGCGATGGGGCAGCGAGTCAGAAATACATAGGGCAGTGTGATGAGTCTCAAAATGAAAATATTCAGACATCAAGTGCTGGACTGGATGAGCCCTATATCGAATTCTTTGTCATGCCAGTTTACATCTGTTACTGATTGTTTTGCCTCGGTCTGTTACACGAGGCTTTGATAAAGTTCCCCTCAAATTGGTGGTAATAAGCAGACTTGATCAAATGGCAGTTAACCTCAAAACAGTGTTTACTGAGTGATTTTTGAATGAGTGAATGCAACAGTTGTGAATAGCCCAAGACTGGAAAGGAAATGTTAAATGCATTGTGTGCAGTGGGATTAATATGAGCTCAGAAAGATAATATAGGGTAGTATATTTGGAAAGCCATTAAAGAGAAGGTAGAACCTGTATGGTATCAAGAAAGATGGACGGGGCTTCCCTGGTGGCACAGTGGTTAAGAATCCGCCTGGCAGTGCAGGTGACACGAGTTTGAGCCCTGGTCCGGGAAGATCCCACATGCCGCGAAGCAGCTAAGCCCGTGAGCCGCAACTACTGAGCGTGCGCTCTGAAGCCTACGAGCCACAACTACGGAGCACGCGCGCCTAGAGCCCATGCTCCCCAACAAGAGAAGCAGACCGCAATGAGAAGCCCGTGCACCACAACGAAGAGTAGCCTCCGTTCTTTGCAACTAGAGAGAGGCCACGCGCAGCAACGAAGACCCAACGCAGCCAAAAATAAATTAAAAAATAAAAACATAAATTTATGAAAAAAAGATGGGTGGAACTTAGATCATTGAACATGAGGTTGATGCAGCTGGGATGGAGATTCTGAAGTGGTGTAAGCATGGATTATTTGGGGATATTAAGAAGTACTGTCTTATTAGAGGGGAAAACAGTTTGTGTTGGAGAGATGAAACGTGACCTGAAGATAGTACGTTATGTTGAGAATTTTAGACTTGGTGTGGTGCGCTAATTATTGATTCTTCAGTAGATTGGCATGCTAGAAAGTAGTGTTTTAAGAAGCTTTATATGTAAGCAAATTAATTATTTGATTTTGTTGACAGCTCTTGGAATAAACTTAACTCTGAATTGAAAGTAGCAAATTTAAAGATATTAAAAGTAATGAATATAATTGATACAGCTGTAGCTATGCAGCAACTTGTAAATCATTAGCCAGTGTATTAAAGCAAGTTAACTAACATGGAAATTTCAAAGCATGTCCTCTCTTATAATACCAGCTACTTTTTAATTGCAGGTTTAGTACCTCAAGACAAACACTTATGTGGATTCCAGATTCTTTTTTTTCCAGGTATTTCATATAATTCTTTAGTACCTTTTTTTAAATACAGTTGATTATTTATTAAAACAATAAAAAATAAATATTTTTATGTATCGAATAAAAAAGCTTAACTCTTAAAATATAATTTTTAAATTGTTATTTTACCTTGGAGATGGAATGATTCATTTGTGTTGGTCTTTGATGTTTGAAAGACTTAGAGCATTTTATTCATACTCAGATTTTAAAAACTAACTCAGTCTTAATGTTAATGACTTCTAGTTTGCTGAGTGGAAGAATTTCAACACTTCGAGATGAAACTGGTGCTGTGAGTATAACAATGTTGATGTATGTTCTAAATTAGATCAAAAAATGCTTATAATGTTTGATCCTTATACTCTAAGAAGACAGGGAAACTACTCTTTTAATAACTACTAAATGAAAGTATATGTACTTAAAGATTTTGATTTCTTGTCATGAATAGTGTTTCTGTAATTATAGAAGAGAACTTGAAACTGGGAATACTGCATATAGCAATTTAAGTAATCATGATTAGAGAGATTGTAGGATCTGAGCTTACATTGTCAAGAGAGGAAATATTTCTTTTAATCAGTAATTGAAACTCGAACAGTAAATAGATGAATGTAAATACTAAAATATTTCAGTATTGGTAAGATGTTGCAAAAAGTTCTACAATTTTTTATTTTGGAGAATAACCTTATGAACTTGTGCAGCAGTGGTGGAGTGAGGGTAGTAAAGAACTATTAAATTTCAGTTAATAAAAAATTGGTTTATAAATTTAAAAAGCAGTTGTAATGTGAACAATAGCATGTAAAGTAAATGTCTAGGGCTCACAAAAGCAAGTAAGACTTTCATTTGGGAGGCAACAAAGTGACCAGAGGTGTTTATTTGCTGTGATGAGATTTGCAGATGGAATAAAGCAGCACAAGTAGATATGTCCATGTGATATTATAAAAAGGACATCAGTAATTAGATCTCTACAAATCTGTGGTGTTTTCTTCAACTTCTGATTGATTCTAATAAAAACAAAAGCAAGAATTTATGAAGCCAGAAGAACTTCATTCATTGTATATAGTAACTGATTATAATATAAGAAGGTTTATTATTTGCTACCATTCTGCTGTGTAATTGACTTACATAAGCTTTAAAAGGTGTTCAATTTTATGGTTAGAGCTTTTGTAATTGGTTCAGAATAGTGTTGGCATACATTCCTGTAAAAAGTTATCGGTTATGTATTTCATATTTTTTAAGCATTTTATTTTCCCCATATGTATTCTGTGGTGCTGTGTTTGTTATTTTAAAAAATTTTGTTGTTGTTGTCACCCTCCCCTTCACCCTACACCCAGCCCTTGAGGAAATTGAGATAGTCGTATGTATAAGTGTTACTGTTTTCCAGTTTGGACAGCAGTGTGCAGTTTTACTTTTCTTGATTGCCTGGTGTGTATTATAAAAGTACATTGTTGTTTTAACTGTTCACTTATGAATCACAAATTATGTAAATCACAATCACTGTCACCAATAATTAGTGATCAGATGATGTAAGAAAGTATTATTCATGCATAATGTTTTTGAAGTATTTATTGAATTCTAGAATATTTCAGATAAAAATTTTCCCTTTGGTGTACCTTTCACCAAATATATCAGTTAAATAGAAATGAGAAAGTGGACTTACTTGGTACCATTTTTCCTGCACCTTAAAATATAATCAATCTAACAACAGCTTTTCAGGTGGAGAAAAGACACCACTACTACCACATAAATGCACACGGTTATAACTACATTTCAATTTTAGAAACATTAAAATTTAATAAGAGTGGAATCAAGGAAATATAGTATTTAAATAATTCAGTTTTTGTTCCCTAAGTTAGTGTTACAGATATTAAAGTTAGAAGTTTAATTTATAATTTGAAAGTAAAATTTGTAATTCTTTATTTACAGATATTTATTGATAGAGATCCAGCAGCGTTTGCACCCATTTTAAATTTTCTTCGGACAAAAGAACTAGACTTAAGGTAAGAAATGTATCTTTTTAAAGTAAATTTTTATTCAAAGGTATGGTTTTGGGTATATTTTATGAAGAAAAGTTTTTTTTCCCCGCCCCAAGATTATTTTTGTTTAAAAGTTTCATCAGGGCTTCCCTGGTGGCGCAGTGGTTGAGAGTCCGCCTGCCGATCAGGGGACACGGGTTCATGCCCCGGTCCGGGAAGATCCCACATGCCGCGGAGCGGCTGGGCCCGTGAGCCATGGCTGCTGAGCCTGCGCGTCCGGAGCCTGTGCTCCGCAACGGGAGAGGCCACAACAGTGAGAGGCCCACGTACCACAGAAAAAAAAACAAAAACAAAAGTTTCATCAGAATTAAACTGTCATAGATACAGGCCACCGTCATCCCTTCCTCTGGGTTACTCTAATAGCTTTCTTACCAATTTGCCTGTCTTCATTCTTATATCCCTTCAATTCATTTTTCGCACTGTAGCCAAAATTAACTTCTGAAAATATAAATCTAATCTGGTTATTCCTCTGCTTAAAACTCTTACGTGTTACTGGATTAATGGCTAAGGATTTTGGACTTCCTGTTGTTTCTTAAGGCTCTCTCTAATCTAGCTCCTGCTTGATTTCTGTTGCTTCAACACTTTCAACTCTTTCTGCTCTCAGCTTGATTCTGATCACTTCAATGATCCCTGCTGTGTCTGCCTGATACAGGTGTTCAGAGTTTCCTGTACTGCCACTACCCCAGTAGTCTATCTTCCATTAGACTTTAAATTCTAAAAGGACAAGTTGTTTACTGTATACCTGTAGGATCGAGCGTTGTGCTTGACGCATAGCGATATTTTTCTTTGGTGGGTAAATGAATGACCATTTAAACTATTTCTTTAACTTTGCCATAGTCTGCAATCTACAGTGGAAGCTACTATCTAATTTGTATTTTATTGTTCTTTTATTTCATATATTCCTAATAAACTTTCACTTAAGGACCTATTAATACTTTTTTAGATAACACCTTTTAGAATTCTAATTGTTTCTTTAAGCTGCTTCTTTATAATATTATATAATTTTTGGCTTATATTTACTAGAATATGTGCTCCTTGAAAGCAAAGATTTTTTTGTTTGGTTTGTTCCCTGCTGTATTCCCAGTGTTGTTAAAATGGCATGTATAGTAGCTGCTCAATAGATATTTATTGAATGAATAAAAGAGTTTGTTGGGGCTTTTTGTTTGTCTGTTTCTTGGCCTGGGGTGGAAGTGGGAAGTATATTACTAACTACTTACTTCTGGGGTAAAATTATTTTTAGCATTTGATTAAAGCCTAAATTTACTTCTAGTCAGTGTCCTTGTGACTAATCCACGACTAAATCACCCATGAAAGGCAGAAATATAATAGTTTAAATATTTGCATTCACTGCTTTTCTTTCAACTTGCTTATTTCATTTAGGGAAGCCTAGCAAACTTAAGTTCTCTGAGTAGTACCTTCTAAAAGGAGGTGGGAAGGAATTGAAAAAAGAATACTATGTTCTACTTCTGTTTTTTGCATAAAATTCTTGTATTGCACTTATCACACTGTATTATCATTATAATATTTGTCTGTCTTCCCCAGACAAATAATTAGCCAGTGCTACTGTACTGTTAACACAAGTAGTTTTGAAATAGAATAAGAAAGTTTTAACTGTTCTTATTAAACTAGTTACAACCAATTTCACAAATAAAAGCAATTTAATATCGCAATTACATGTGTTCATTAGGCCTACGGAATTTTTTTTGTCTGTTGTTTTCTAAGACTTCTTTTTTTAATAGCAGTTTCAGGTTTACAACAAAATTGAGAGGGGGAGGTACAGAGATTTCCCATGTGCCCCCTGCCTTCATTATCAACCTCCTCCACTGTTAACATCATTTACCAGAATGATACATTTTTTTTTTTTTTTTTTTTTTTTTTCAATTGATGTGAACCTACATTGACATCATAGTCACCCAAAGTCCATAGTTTACCTTTGGTTCACTTGGTGTTGTACATTTTATGAGTTAGCACAAATGTATAATGACACGTGTTCATCTTTATAATACTGTACAAAGTATTATTTCCATAATTTGGCCTTCTTCAGAATGTCATAGTTGGAATCACACAGTATGTAGCCTTTTCTGATTGGCTTCTTTCACTTAATATTATGCAGTTAAATTTCCTCCATGTCTATTCATGTTATTTCTTTTTAATGCTGATAATATTTCATTAGCTGAATATACCAGTTTATTTTTCCACTCACCTAGTAAAGAGGACATTTTGGTTGCTTCCAAGTTTTGGCTGTTAGGAATAAAGCTGCTATAAAACCATCCATGTGCAGGTTTTCGTGTGGTCGTAAGATTTCAACTCCTTTGGGTAAATACCAAGGAGTGCAGTTGCTGGATCGTATGGTAAGAGTTTTATAGGAACCTCAGACTGTCTTTCAGAGTGGCTGTAGCATTTTGCTTTCCCACCAGCAATGTATGACAGTTCTTACTGCTTCACATCCTTGCCAGCATTTGGTGTTAGGATTCTGGATTTTGGCCATGTTAACTAATGTGTAGTAGAAACTCATTGTTTTAATTTGCATTTGCTTAATGACATATGATGTGGAGCATCTTTTCATAGGCTTATTTGCTACCTCTGTATCTTCCTTGGTTAAGGTCTTTGGCCCATTTTTTAATTGAATTTGTTTCCTTATTGTTGAGTTTTAAGAGTTCTTTGTATATTTTGGATAACAGTCCCTTATCAAATTTGTCTTCTGCAAATATTTTCTCTCATTCTGTGGCTTGTCTTATTTCCTTGACATTGTCTTTCGTAGAGCAAAAGTTCTTAATTTTCATGAAATCTAGCTTATCCTTATTCCTCTCATGGATTATGTCTTTTGGTTGTATCTAAAAAGGTATCACCATACCCACTGTCACGGAGGTTTTCTCCTAAATGTTATCTTCTTTGAGCTTTTTAGTTTTGCATTTTACCTTTAGGTCTGTGAATCATTTTGAGTTAATTTTTGTGAAGGGTGTAAGGTCTGTGTTTAGACTAATTTCTCTCTCTTTTTTTTGCATGCAGATGTCCAGTTGTTTCAGCACCATTTGTTACTCCATTGTTTTGCCTTTGCTCCTTTGTCATAGATCAGTTGACTATGTGTATGGGATCTATTTCTGGGCTTTCTGTTCTATTCCGTTGATCTGTTGTTGATTCTTTTCACCAGTACTACGCTATCTTGATTTTTCTAGCTTTATAATAAAGCTTGAAGTTGGGTAGTGGTAGTGCTCTAACTTTGTTCTTCTCCTTCAGTATTGTGTTGGCTATTCTGGATCTTTTGCCTTTCCATGTAAACTTTATAATCAGTTTGTTGATATCCATAAAATAACTAGCTAGACTTTTGAATAGGATTACATTGAATCAGATCAAATTGGGAAGAACTAATGTCTTAACAATACTACATCTTCCTATCCATGAACTAGGAATATCTGTCCATTTTTTCAGTTCTTTGATTTCAGTCATCAGAGTTTTGTAGTTTTCTTCATATAGATTTTGTATATATTTTGTTAGATTTATACCTAAATATTTCTTTTTGGGGGGTATTAATGTAAATGGTATTGTGTTTTTAATTTCAAGTTTCTCTTGTTCACCATTGGTATATTGAAAAGCAATCGACTTTTGTACATTAACCTTGTATTCTGCAACCTTGCTATAATTGCTTATTAGTTCCAGGAGTTTTTTGTCCATTCCTTTGGATTTTCTATATAGACAATCATGTCATCTGTGATCATCAGTTTTATATATTTCTTCCCAATCTGTATGCCTTTTCTTTTCTTTTCTTTTCTTGACTTGTGTAAATAAGGATTTCCAGTATGAAGTTGAAAAGGAGTGGTGAGAGGGAATATCCTTGTCTTGTAACCAGATGTTAGTGGGAAGTTTCAGATTTCTTACCATTAAATATGATGCTAGCTATAGGATTTTTTTTTAAATAGTCTTATCAAGTTGAGAAAGTTCCCCTCTATTCCTAGTTTACTGAGACTTTTTATTATGAATGGGTGTTGGATTTTGTCACATGCTTTTTTTGCACCTATTGATATGATCATGTGAGTCTGTTGATGTGATAGATTACATTAATTGATTTTAGAATATTGAACCAGCCTTGCGTACCTGAGATAAAACCCACTTGGTTGTAGTGTATATTTCTTTTTAGACATTGTTGGATTCGGTTTGCTAATATTTTGTTGAGAATTTTTGCATCTGTGTTCATGAGAGATACTGGTCTGTAGTTTTCTTGTAATGTCTTTGTCTGGTTTTGGTATTAAGGTAGTGAGGGCCTTATACAATGAGTTAGGAAGTGTTCCCTCTGCTTCTTTCTCTGAAAGAGAGTGTAGAGGATTGGTCTAATTTCTTCCTTCAGTGTCTGGTGGCATTCACCAGTGAATCCTGGGCATGGTGCTTTCTGTGTTGGAAGGTTATTGTTGATTCAGTTTCTTTACTACATGTAGACCGATTGAGATGGATCGTCTTTCTTGTGTGAGCTCTGGCAGATGGTGTCTTTCAGGGAATTGTCCATTTCACCTAGGCTATCAAGTTTGTAGGCATAGAGTTTTTCATAGTATTCCTTTATTCTTTTAATTTTCATGGAATTTGTAGTGATGTCCCCTCTCTTTTCTGCCCAGGCAATATTTTTAAAGAAAGGACAGATTATAACTGAAACCTAAAATGAATCATTTTAAACTCTTTAGCTTCTATTTTTTTTTTTTTTTTTTACTTCTTATTTTCATATTACTTTCTTGTAACGTCTTTGTCTGGGTAACAGCCCTTCTTAAGGCTGATCTTTGTTTTCCTCCGCCTTCTGTTTTGCTTTTGTTTTTGGTTTCTGTTGAGAAGAGTCATTTATCTGAATTTATTTGTTCAGTAAATATGGATTGCATAACAATTACATACAAGCACTGTGGTAGGCCCTGCATGAGGCATACAAACATGGATCAGAGGAGAACATGCTTGCAGGGAGCTTATAGGATAATTGGGGAGGTTAAAATATGTATGGAAATTATGGATAAAAGCAATTAATACCATAGGAATGATTTCTACTCTTGTTTGCCTTATTAGATACTTCTGATAATTACTTGTATTAACCCTATAAAGCCCTAATCTCTCATTTAGTCATCCAATTCATCTATATATAAATGGTTTTTTTAGTAAGAAAACGTTCTTGGTGGTGTGCAGTTTTTTTATCTATACTTCTTCAAATAATTAAGGATCTTAGGAAAAAAGTAAGTTTTAAAGCCCTATGACTTTGTTCATTAAGAACCTAGTACTTTTTCTTTTTGCTTCAGATGATAATCCGAGTTGCCAGTGTTAGAGGACTTACATCATTCATTGGTTTCTTTGTAGGGGAGTGAGTATTAATGTTCTCAGACATGAAGCAGAATTTTATGGAATCACTCCATTAGGTATGTATTCTAGTATTTTATATTTATGATTTGACCCTTTGAGCACTAAACTTGCCCAAATGAAATCTGTTTTATATCAGGTTCTAATTTTTGATGGACTAGTCAGTGCTTGCTTTTTGTGGATTTTCATAGTAAAAAGGCGTTGTCAGCTGATTTAACTTAAACATTTTCCTTTTCTTTCCTTATCCTCTTTAACTAGAGAAAATAAAAGTGGAGTACTATTTTTGTGTTTGCATGTACTCTTGACAAGTTTGCTTTGAAATGTTTTTAGTAAGAAGGCTTCTCTTATGTGAAGAACTGGAGCGTTCATCTTGTGGCAGTGTCCTTTTTCATGGTTACTTGCCTCCACCAGGTACTTCTGCTTTATTTATTTAGTTCTTTTTTTTAAGTCTTTTTATCATTAAGTAAGTAGAGATGTGTGAGTAGGAAAATCTGTTTCTTGATTATTGAGTTTCCTTTGTAAATCTACTAGAAAAAGTGAGAACTTTAATATTAACAGAAGTTAAGTCATACTGTGTATTAGGGTAGGGATTTGCCAGACTTTTTCTGTAAAGGGCCAGATGGGTTTGTGAGCTAAAAGATCTCTGTGGCAACTCTTCAGCTCTGCCATAAACGCTACAGAAATGCATGGGTGAGACTGTGTCTAATAACAGCTTTATTTACGTAAAGAGCCATCAGGCTGGACTTGGCCATGGCCAGATTTGCTGACTCCCGTGTTTGAGAACTGGTTGTCGATCTCCTTTGTGGAACCCCAGGAGCTTTTTAGAGATTTAGCAGTGTACAGGGCAGACGAGTGTGAGGTGCATGTCATCTCTGCCCCTCTTCAGTGAGTTAGAGGAGTTCGGTCTTCACCTGTGTTGTAGCAGGCTTTTGAACAAGATTTCATTTTGAAAAAGGCTCTCCTGCCAAATAAGAGATGTTTGAAAGTATAAGGCAATTCAGCTGTAGAGCGGTTTAAATTAGTAAATAGTACCTAACGCATAGTAACTGTTCCATAAATGTGAAGACTAGTGACAGAATGAATGAGTTAGTGATTGATTGATTTGGTAACCTAGAGCTAGGTAAATACAGAGTATAATATGATAAGTCTTAGTCTTACCTTTTATATATATAACATAAGTATCAAATCTGTTGAGTGAATTTTATTTTTAAAAAATCTCGTCTTGTTTTCTATGGTAGTTAATTATTTGCAGTAAATTGGTATATTGGAAGATAAATTTTGGCTATAATGAAATTCACATTTGTTTGTTTCTTAGCCATAATGTGAAATTTTAAATTTTTGGTAAGTGAACTTAGAAATAAACTTATCTTTTTTTTTCCTTTTATAGGTATTCCTAGTCGTAAAATAAACAACACTACTAGATCCTCTGCTGATTCTAGAAATGGACTAAATTTTACAGAAGGTGAAGCTCGAGGAAATGGTACACAGCCTGTTCTCTCTGGAACTGGGGAAGAGACTGTTAGGCTAGGTAAGCAAAGAGTACATAAATTTTAAAAGTACGTATGTTTTTAGTTCTAGATGATATTGAGTAATTATTTTTAAAGATGTGATTTTTGCTTTATCTCTTTTTAATCTAGATCTACCATTTATATCTTGAAGAATCTCACTTAACATAATTTTTATTTAGAAAGTTCATGATCTTCTGTTAGCTCTAAATCTTTAGAACAGAGGTTGGCAGACTTTTTCTGGAAAGGGCCAGACAGTGAACATGTTGGGCTTCATGAGCCGAAGGGTCTCTGTTGGAACTGCTCAACTTTCATTGTGGGACGAAAGCAGCGATGACGATGTATGCACAGATGTGAATGGCTGTGTTCCAACAAAGCTTTCTTTATCAAAAGAGGTAGAGCACTGGAATTGGCCTGTTAGTCATAGTTTTGCCAAGTCCTTCTTTAGAACGTAAAAGATTTCTTTTGCTAATATCAACAGGATTTCCTGTGGATCCACGAAAGGTACTAATAGTAGCTGGCCATCACAACTGGATTGTAGCTGCGTATGCCCATTTTGCTGTGTGTTACAGGTATTGTATAATTAATAATGGTTTGCTTTTTATTTTGGGGGGTATTTTTTAATATTGTGATTTTATTTTTATAGATTTAAGAGCTATTTACTTTAGTCATCAAATATTTTTCCTTCATATTTTGCCCACTTCTGTATCTCCTGATTAGATTTAGTTTGCTTTTATTCTCACAACTAATTTGGTAAATATTATTGATAGCCTTAGTATGTCTTAAATATTGCATATACAGTGTGAACTGTGATATAACTGAGATATCTTGAAGTTACATCTTCTTGCTTAGTATATCCAGCTTCTGAATCATTTAACTATTGTATTAAATGATGAGGCAGGATTGTTAATGTGAGCCCTGTGTTTTTTGTCTATAATGATTGAGCCTTTTGTACTCTACGGTAGGGGAGAATAGGACCCTACATTGGTCGTGACTGCCATATGGTTGGGAGCGAGGTGAAGCAGGACAGTTGTAGGCAGAAGTGATGTAGTTTAACATCTATAATGTGTGAGCTTTACACAGAGGTAGTTTGGTTTTACTAATTCTTGCATTCTCAGTAACTAACAGGGAACAAGGAAAAGTGTACACCAGTGATTTCTCTTTTTCAATTGGAAAAAAGGTAGGATTATTAGTTCAAAATCCCTGTATGCAGTGAGAAATGTTGATGACAGGAAATGGCGTAGAAGAACAAAAATGGTTAGGATATACTAACTTAGACTATGATCCTACTGAATTTAATTGCCAAAATATCAAAAAACATATAAATATTTTGTCACTATTGAATTTAGTTAAGAAAAAGTAGCCACAATAGATTAAAAATATTTAAAATGTCTTCTAAAGTTTACAGATACATTTAAAGGATCCCAGATGTATTGAATAAAAGAAAAAACCCCCTCAGTTTATGAGAGATTTGCCATATGTGTTAAAGGAAAAAAAGAAGACCTCATATCAGTAATCTGCATTTTATATTTTCATTGCAATAGAGATTTGGTGCACACTTTTCATTTTGAGAGCATTCCATTGATATGTATTTTTAATATTATTTATTGAGTAGTATGAAAAAAGTTTTTGGATGATTTCTTTCAGGGATGATTTTATATGAAGCAAGACTGATTTGAAAAAGGGGTTTTCTTTTCTTTTTTTTTTTTTTTGCGGTACGCAGGCCTCTCACTGTTGTGGCCTCTCCCGTTGCGGCCTCTCCTGTTGCGGAGCACAGGCTCCGGACGCGCAGGCTCAGCGGCCATGGCTCATGGGCTCAGCCCACTCTGCGGCACGTGGGATCTTCCCTCACCGGCTCACGATCCCGTGTCCCCTGCATCGGCAGGCGGACTCTCAACCACTGCGCCACCAGGGAAAGCCCAAATTTTTTTTTTTTTTAAGAGTGTTGTTTTGAACTTACCAGCTTATGGACCTAAATTGAGAAATGGTTTTAGATTTTGCTTTGTTTGTTTAAATATTATGTACATTTTTTTGATAGGGGATTCCAAAGGAGTTAGTTGTATAATGATTATACCAAGTTATCCAGGTGTAACAGCATAATTTATGTTACTGCACAGCAGTGCTAAAGATTGTGACTTGCCAGACAGGGACACATGGTATTGCACAAAATTTCACTCATTGAGTGACTAATGTAAGAAAGATGATGCTGTTACATATTCCATTCTTTGTTTTTGCTTTTGACCATGACTTTTCTTTGCTTTCACTGAGTGTTGATTTCAGAGCAATATGCCCATGCAAAGTGACAAAGGGAAAGAATTAAGGACATATTAGATTTTCTCATGTACAGTTAAATCATTCAACACAATGCCAATAAAAAGATTTCAGAAGAAAAGAATATATTCAAATTATTTTAAGTGTAATCATTTTAATAAATTGTTTTTCCACAGCTTTTTATTTCAATAAATTTAAAACCTTAAAAAAGGAAAGAGTAGCACAGTGAAATGTTTTTCACCTATATTCATTAATTTTCTACCTCGTTAGGTTTTACTTCTATATTTCTTTTTTCTTGCTCAGTTTACAACCTGTCACTTGTATTAATAAAGAGTATTTGTGTAGATTGTTTCCCTTTTGGAGCTTATATTACACTTTAGATCTTTAATCCATGTGGAATTTACTTTTTGTATATGGTGTTAGATTTAGGAATCTGTTTTATTTTCTTCCAAGTGGGTGGCTAATTATGTTCTGATTATTACATAAATCATCCTTTCTCATTGAATATGAAAGCCCCCTTTATCTTGCTTTATATTTATTTTTATATACTTGAATCTAATTTTAGACTTTTTTTTTTTTTCCATTGATGGACGTTTAGATTGTTTCCCTGTCTTGGTTATTGTAAACAATGCTGCTATGAACACGGGGGTGCAGATATCTTTTCAAACTAGTGTTTTCATTTCCTTTGAATATATTCCCAGAACTGGAATTGCTGGATCATAGGGTAGAGCTATACTTAATATTTTTGAGGAAACTCTACACTGTTTTCCATAGTGGCTGTACCAGTTTACAATCCCACCAACAGTGCACAAGGGTTCCCTTTTCTCCACATCCACACCAGCATTTGTTATCTCTTGTCTTTTTGATGATGGCCATTCTGACAAGTGTGAAGTGATATCTTACTGTGGTTTTAATTTGCATCTCCCTGATGACAAGTGATGCTGAGCATCTTTTCATGTTACCTGTTGGCCATTTGTATATATTTGGAAAAGTGTCTATTCAAGTCCTTTGTACCATTTTCTAATTGGATTATTTGGTTTTTTGCTATTGAGTTGTATGAGTTCTTTATATTTTTTGGTTATTGACCCCCTTATCAGATATATGGTTTGCAAATATTTTTTCCTATTCCATAGGTTATTTTTTCACTTTGTTGATAGTTTCTTTTTCTGTGCAGATGCTTTTTTCGTTTGATGTAGTCCCATTTGTTTATTTTTTATTTTGTTGCTTGTGCTTTAGGTGTCATTTTCAAAAAAAAAATTATTACCAAGACACATGTCAAGGAGCATTTTTCCTATGTTTTCTTCTAGGAGTTTGATGGTTTTAGGTCTTACATTTAAGTCTTTAATCCATTTTGAGTTTATTTTTGTGAGTGTTGTAAGGTACAGGTCAAATTTCATTCTTTTACATGTGAATATCCAATTTTCCTCACACCATTAATTGAAGAGAAAATGCCTTTTCTCCATACACTATTCTTGGCTCCCTTGTCAAATACTAGATGACTACATATGCTTGGGTTTATTTCTGGGCTCTTGATTCTGTTTCATAGGCCTGTTGATCATCTTAATTATTCCCTTCATTATCTGCTGAGAATTCAGAATAGGAGATTGAGTATTTTTGTGTGTTGGGTTAGATGGAAGAGAAACAAGATAAAGCATTTTTATGTGTTAAAGAGAAAGACTTGCACATATGTTTAACTTCATAGTTTAACCTTTGAGAGGTGGAATAAACTGCCTTTCTAATCAACTTGGCAGTGAGGTGTTGGAAAGAAAACAGTGAAAGTTATATTGAGAAAGGTCCAGTAGAAAATAAACAATGAGGGATTTTATGCTGATATACAGTGTGTTTTTTACAAAAAAAAAAGAACAACAACATAGGCAAACAAAATTGCTCTAATAAATGTAGCTCATCCATCTTGACCACAAAGAAAGAATCATTGTGTCCTTATATTTCTGCCTTCGTATGGTACCCTCTCCAAACCACAGTTGTGTTTTTAGTTGGAGAGTCTCCTAACTAACCTCCAAATCCCTCTATCTGGCTGGGGTCCATCTCTTGAAGGAAAATAGCCAAAGGGAAACCCTAATTGACAGAATCTGGTGTGACAAATCATTTCAGCACTGAGCAGAAATTATGGATTTGGGAGTGGGGAAAGGAGTGGGGAGATGTGGGAAGGAGGGAGAGCTCTTCAAAATAAGATAACTCAGCTCTAGAGTTATGAGGTATCCCCTCTCACTGATCAGAATGCCCATCATCAAAAAATCTACAAACTGTAAATGCTGGAGAGGGTGTGGAGAAAAGGGAACCCTCTTGCACTGTAGGTGTGAATGTAAATTGATGCAGCCACTATGGAGAACAGTATGGAGGTTCCCTAAGAAACTAAAAATAGAACTACCGTATGACCCAGTAATCCGAACACTAGGCATATACCCTGAGAAAACCATAATTCAAAAGGACACATGTACCCCAATGTTCATTGCAGCACTATATACAATAGCCAGGTCATGGAAACAACCTAAATGTCCATCGACAGATGAATGGATAAAGAAGATGCGGTACATATATACAATGGAATATTACTCAGCCATAAAAAGGAACGAAATTAGGTCATTTGTAGAGATGTGGATTGACCTAGAGTCTGTCACACAGAGTGAAGTAAGCCAGAAAGAGAACAACAAATATTGTATATTAATGCATATATGTGGAATCTAGAAAAATGGTACAGATGAACCTATTTGTAGGGCAGGAATAGAGACGTAGACGTAGAGAACGGACATGTGTACACAGGGGGAAGGGGAGGGTGGGATGAATTGGGAGATTTGGTTTTACATAAATACACTACCATGTGTAAAATAGATAGCTAGTGGGAACCTGCTGTATATAGCACAGGGTGCTCAGCTTGGTGCTCTGTGATGACCTAGATGGGTGGGGTGGGAGGGCATGGGAGGGAGGTCCAAAAGGGAGGGTATATATGTATACGTATAGCTGATTCACTTCATTGTACAGCAGAAACTAACACAACATTGTAAAGCAATTTTACTCCAATTAAAAAACAATAACTCAGCTCTAGAGGCTCCTGATGAGAAAAGGTTGGGAAACCATCTAGTTCCATAAAAATTGCTTCAAAATATTGAGAAATGAATTGGACTTTTAAGTTATGATTTATTGGGGTATTATTTTATGCCAGGCATTACACTAAAGGCTCTTGTATACGTTTTCTCATTTAATTATTCCAACAACCTGTGGCATGGATCTCATCGTCCCCATTTTACTAGTGAGGAAATCAGTTTGGAGAAAAAAGTACCCC